ATCACTCCACTTATCAATTTATATAGCAATTTGTGTCTGTCTTCATTTTGAAAGCAGATTCCAAAAGGAGATTTAAGTCAATGATGAAAACACTTTTCTAAATATATCTTGGAGATAGAATGTTTGAGGGGGAAAAAAAAAGAAAGATAAGGAGTCCCTTCCAACGGTAGATTACAATATAGTGGCTAAAGACTAGACTGCCTGGGTTTGAACATTGGATCTGACACTTACAAGGTCTGGAACTTTAGCAGGCTGAGCTGTTTCTTCACCTATAAATAGGTTAATAACAAATCCTATTTTCTAAGTATTCCATGATATAAAAGAGTGCCATACAATAAGCTATAATTATAATACAGATGCGTCATTCACATCTTGATATTTTAAAATTATACTCCAAGTATTTACTTAGTTCATTTTTCTTCCTTCTGGGGGATTCATGGAAAATACACTAAATGCACGTAAACTACCTGTAGTATTTGATCATTTTATTCTTTATCAATCAGTGTATCAGTAAGATGTATTGCCAAGGAAGCAGAATTCAGTGACAGCTTGCAAGTTTTTATTACCAGCAACAGTGTTTGGCGATGGAGAGGTTCCTTAAGCAAACTGGCAAAGGATAGAGCTTTTTGATGCTGGTTTTCTGTTCACCTATTGTGTTGGCCCTACAAGCTATCCACAGTCATTTGTTTATAACTGTTTGAGAATGTACACTGAATGTACACATATTTCAATGTATTAGGAAAAGAATTTCCTATGACTCTACTGATACAAAATCACTTGTTACATTTGCTAGGCTGAAGTTAGTTTTACAATGTCCATGTAGAAACTATGCACAGAAGGGCCTTGCTATTTCAACTGTTACTGGAATTTGTATAGGAAAGTGAATATTATCAGTTAAAAGTTTTCCCTACTATTTTGTGAATCATTAAAAAGCACTTTGCCAACATTCAATATTAGTATGTTAATATAATCAAGATTAGTTTGTTTGGAAGTAAAAATATTCTCTAAAAATACTGTTGTTTATACATGAGATTTTCACAAACTTAGGTTGCTCTCCTTCAAATGGCACTCTTAGTTTAAATAAACTTTTCATTCTGTTTCTTATTCCATCAAGGCACAATATCAAACAGTAGTAGAAACATTCCTGTCCTCAGTATGTGGTGTGAGAAGTCACTGTCTCTATGTGGCAGCCATATGTAGTCTCACTCAGATTCCCTTTCACCCAAAGGTGACTAACAGACATCTGCTGCCAAACCCTTGGCTCTACTGTTGACTTCATGTCAAACATGCTCTCTAAGGTTATGCCTCACATTCTAGAACAAAGACTCTCCTGTCTTCCTAACCTCAAGTGACACCACTAGCGGAATGTCTCTATAAGCACTGAATCCTAGCCTTGCACTTGTAAGAAAATCACTTTGTGAAAAAAGGAGTGGGCCATGTTCATGTATGTAATTTCTACATATTGTAGAAGCTTGTGGAGTCACAGGTGAATGACTAAGTCAGAGACAATAATCTGCAAGGATAGAGAACAATGACTTAAGATACAACATAAGCACTAAACCAGAGACTCCTGTATGACACTGTTCATCTAGCAGGAATACAGTGATCTGAGAACTAAAAGATAAAATACTCATCTATCTGCCATTACTCCTGGTGACTCACTGGGAACATTTGTGCTCTGCAAGCACAACACGCATGTGCTGAGGAGTTAGATACTTATCTTCAGAAGTTTCCCCTCCTTCAAGGGAACAGAGCAAGGACTGATCCAGTGACAAGATTTGTATACTTGTCGGATACTGTTAGTACTTTGCACACCAGGGGCAGCAAGCTGCGGTCACTGGCTATCAGGCCGGTATGGTTTTGCTTTCACCAAGTGATTCAGGCATGGAACCCAGATGATCCATGTGGTATGCCCTTAGAATGTTCTTCACCAATTGTGATTCTTTATAGAAACATGAAGCAAGCCTAGACTGAAATGAGTATGATGCACAGAGACTAAGGGCCCTTAAGAATAAATGTTTAAGTCATACCATCAGGTAAAATAAAATAATGCTTAAGTGGTAGCTGAGATTATGGAGTAGGCAGTAGAGAATAGAACACATACCAGGGTGGCCCAAGACTAACTGCAATGTCAAGGATTACAGCTTGTTCAGCTGGCCTTCCTTCTCTACACTCAAGAGAGGTTTCTCATGGACACACTTGTTATTAACTGGCTTGTAGACTACAGTCCATAATAGTGGACTCTCAGAGGCACTACTGAGTTTGCATCAGTCCAAGTTTTTCCTGCATGGCTGTCAGATAATCACTGAGCATAACAGAGATACTAGAATTGAGCTATCTTTGCCCAATATGGAATTTCTGTAATAGACAACAACGGCTCAGAGATGCCTACGGACAAATTGGGGCTCTTTCTACTCTTCCCTATCTGTGTTGTCTTCAACTTGCATTACAATCTGTGTCTCCCTGCCTTCTCTTTTGACCCATCATAGGCATTTTCTCAAGTCTCACCTATACATCTAACAGTGGTTGGTAATTGCCATGTTAGGTGCTTTGAATTTCATAGTCTTACCTTGGGTTGCTCTCCTCTTCTCTTGCCTTCTTTTTCAATGGTGGGGATCACTCTGGGATCTTGCTTATTCTAGACAATATTGTACCACTGAACTACAACCCAATCTCCTAAATTTTTGTTTTTAATAGAACATTTGGAAGATGGTGGTCAAGAATTGTTTTGGTTTTGTTTAATCTATTTGAAAATCCTCTAAATTTTTTTTATAAGCCTAAGAACTGGTTTAAGATGATTCTGATATGTTAATCTCAGAGATGCAAATTTGTTTACTAAACTCTAGTGAATTTAACCTACCATTTTTATGGTGGCCCTGGTAGGACATTCAATCAAAGAAAGTTGTATGGTGATTCTGAGAAGGCACTATGAGGAAGGCCAAGAGTATCTAAGAATAAACACAGGTATTATATTAGACAGCCAGAAAAAAAAAAATCCACTGATTGACAGAATTCAGGTTTAGATAGTTTTAAAAGAAAAGACCCTTTTCAAGAGAACAAGGACCTGAAGGAGAGAGAATACAAAGATGCTTCAGAAGAGTGTGGGGGGACACGAACAAGTTAAAAATTGGTGTTCTTCTACAATGACTTCAGTATCTTCTTTTCTAATATATAGTTCAGCACTTTCAAAAATATAATTTCTTGTATTGTCAATACTTGTTTAATGTATTTATCTTACCAAATTAGCTCAAACTCCAAATGCTTAACTGATAATAGGAAAATGTTTATAATTCCATGGTGGACAATAGCCCATTTGGTGTTGAATGTATTATGTTTTCCCTCCTCTAGCTCAAGGAAAAGAACCCATAGCCTTGTTCATGCTAGGCAAGCATTCTATCAATGGAGTTATATCCCCAAGCTCACAGACTTAAAGCTGCAGAATTTTAGATAATGAAACTGATATGCAGAAAACCACTGCTCTAGTCACCCATACCAACTATTTGGAGATAATATGATCATACTACAATACAACTGAAGGTGTGCAATGCACTGAAATGATATAAATTCCTTACCTATGTTAACTTACTTAGGTCTTTGCTCTAACTTTCTACACCTAATCCATCCAATTTTATTGGCTCTTTTAGACAGAGTCAGAATCCTCATTTCTCACCAACCTGTCTCCTTTATCACCTCTTTTCTGGATTGTAGACAGGTCCCCGATAGGAACTCAATAGCTCTCCACACGGCACAGTACCATCATCCTTTCGGTTCTATCACACCTGTGTTCTAAAACCTGTACGGCTCACATACACTATTTGATCCTCCCCTTCCATCTCCATACCTCATCTCTCACCCTACTCGTGACCTTCTTTTTGTTCATTTTGCTTAAATTACAAGAGTTCGTTCATCTTGTTTTTTTCCATAAGCACTTGAGGCTTGGGTCTAATTTCCTTTCTACCTGGTGCTCGGCTCTTTACACAGCTAACTCTTCTCTTTAAATTGAGTTCAACTTACCTCACCAATAAAGCTTTCCTAGACATTCTATTTGTCCCTCCCAATTTCTTTTTTTTTTTTGTCGGTCGTGGGGCCTGAACTCCGGGCCTGGCCGCTGTCCCTCCGCTCTTCAGCTCAAGGCGAGCGCTCTACCGCTTGAGCCACAGCGCCACTTCCGGTTTCCTGGTGGTTTATTGGAGATCAGAGTCTCACGGACTTTCCCGCCCGGGCTGGCTTTGAACCGCGATCCTCAGGTCCCAGCCCCCAGAGTAGCTAGGATGACAGGCGTGAGCCACCGACGCCCACCTTGCCGACTCCTCCCTTTCTAACACACTGTTGCTTTTACCTGCGTGCTGTCTCCTCAGCTACGGCCCTGACGCCAGGCCGCCGGCCGGCCTTGCCTGCGCATGCGCCCGGCGGGCCTCACGCAGCAGCCGGTGCACGCGGCACCGGGTAAGCGCTCTGGATTCGATCGGCAGCGAAGTCCCCTTTCTGGAAAGCGGCCGGCCTCGGGCTCAGAGCACGCTGAAGCTTTCTGGCCCGGGCGCGGGACTGGCGGGCAAACCCAGGAGGGGCCCGCGTCGAGGCGCCCGACCCCGACGCTACCCTGACCTCTGACCTCGGCTCACACCGCGACCCCACGGACTCGAAGAGCAGCGCGGCCGCGCGGGGGGAGCCCAGGTGTGCGGTTCCCTTCCTGGCGCGGCCCCACCCGCCACCCCGTCTTACCGACGCCGACCCCGCGCCCCGGGCCGGGCGGCGGGGGCCTCCACGCAACTTTGGCGCCCTCACTTAGGTGCCCAGGACACGCCCGAACTTTTTAGTTTTTTTTTTCCTCTTATTTGAGCCAAGAGGCCATCGCCAGAAGGACGGGCGCCGCGGTGGCGTTCACTCGGTGCTCCAGGGATCCTGGGGGGGGACCGGCGACTGGGCCGCGACGTCGCCCCGCGGACAGGCAGCGGCGCGGACCACACGGGCGAGGACCCGCCTACGTCACACTTGCGACGCGCCGGCCTCCAGGTCCCGCCGCGCATGCGCTCGGCGGTCAGCATGCGGGTCGCGGCCCTGATCAGGTAACGAGTCGCCAGGCCGCCTCCGCCGTCCCTCACCGGCCCCCGGCCGCCGCCCCCGGGTGCAAGGATAGGGCGTCCGTGCTGGCGCCCCGGGCCGGCCTGGTTTCTCCGGGACACCGAGAGGCGTCTGCGGGCGTTCCCCGGCCAGCGGGGCCCGGTCCCGGCGCGCCCGGCCTGGGAAGGGGCTGAGGGCCGGCGCCGCGGCCTCGCCCCGGCCGGAGGCTCGGAGCTGCCGCCTTCCCCGGGGCCGCTCCCCCGGCGCGGGCCCTCGGAACCGGAGTGCGGCCCTCCTCCTCCCCTCCTGGCGGACGGCGGGCGACAGTGTCGTTTTGCTCCTTTTTCTTCTGTTTTTGAGTTCGCTACCCCAGGGTGCGGCTGCCTGCGAGACTCCGGTTGTTGGAAGCGGCCTTCCCGCATCCTGCGCACGCACCCGCGGGCTGTGTAGAGCCTCCCATTGAGGTGTCGGAGGTTGTCAAGTTCTCTAGCCCAGACCCGGCCCCACGGCAGCGTTTCAAACACAAGAGCATCAGCTCGGGAGTTCAGACTCCTTGTCACCTGTGCCAGACTTGGATCAGAATAGTGTCCCATACACTTTTTAAATCGTTCTAAAGCAATAGACTCGGTAACGATCCTAAGTTGGCAATCGACCGGTTAAAGATTTCTTGATAAAATGCTCCCATCTTTCCTCAGTGGCTGGACTCCTTTCAGTTACTTGGACTTTCCCGCCAGTTTTAGACTAGGCCACAGTGGGACAATAAACACTGCAATTCAGTAAACTCCCCCTGTAAAGTAGCCCAGTAAATAAGTTATTCACATTCATTTGGTCAAAAGTGGCAGAGGAATGCAAGCCAGTTGAAGGCAGAAGTATGGGAGAGAAGTAAAGATTGTCATAGTTCATTATCCTCTTCAATGAAAAGCTATGTTACTATTAAAATGAAAAAACGCAATGTTTGGAAATTGTTACATTTAAAGAGCTATATAGATGTCAGGAAATACATAGTTAATGAATACACAAGCTATATATAGTATTGCACACACTTATATGAACGCCCATGTATTACATACCTATTATGTAATTATTACATATAAAATAGGCATTTAAGCAACACAAGATTTGCCACTCATGTGTCTGTGTATGTATAGGAGAGGCAAACATACAGAGATTGAGAAATAAGGTGTGTTTTAGGGAATAAGTGAAATATTTAAATAGCTTTAGAACATACAACCTTGTTTTCCTAATAGGCATTTTACTAAGTTTATCGTACTATGACACCTGGGATTTTCTAGACAAGTCTTTTTTTTTTTTTTAAACTGAGGCATGTAAACCTAAGCACATTGACTAGCTTAGTTTAGTAATTAATTTAGGAATTAAAAGTCTGGGTCTGTAGACTTTTCCACCTAACATGTATTGTCATGCCTGGTATCTATGGGAGATTGGTTCCAGGACCACCATGGATACTCACATCTGTAAATGCCAAGTGCTTCATGTAAAATGTTGTATACAGCTCAAGTACACTCTCCTGTATAATCATCTCTGGATTATTTATAATGCCTAATATAAATGCCATGTAATTAGCTGTTGCATGTCATTTCTTAGTGAATAATAACACAAAGCTGAGCAACAGGACCCGTACCTGTAGCTGGTATTGTATGTAGTTACTCAGAAGGCAAGAGCTGGAGGGACATGGTTTGAGGTAGCCACCCTCCCTCCCCATCTCTTTCGTCAAACACTGGGAAGTCTATTCCCAGTTATGTGGGAAGCATAGGTAGGAGGATTGCAGTCTGAGCCTAGCTCTGGGCAAAGAGTACAAGACATCATCTTCACAATAAACTGGAGTTCAGAACTTCAAAAGAACTGGAGTCTTGTCCAAGGTAGTAGAGTGCTTACCTGGTAAAAAGTCTTTACGTGTTCAGTTAGATTCTTTTTCCCAAAAAAGTTTTTTGACTTGCAATTGGCTGAACTCATCTATCAGCTATTCAGTGGAGTTCTAAATGAGAGTGATGTGTTTGGCATTTAGCAAGGTTGTTTGCCTTGGAAAGCCTTTGTTCCTAAGGTATTCAGCTAACATTTTCCCAGACACCAGCATTCTAGAGAACTCAAATTAGGAATTAATATTGTGAAACTTGGAAATATCAGCCTATTTTAAAATAAATTGTAAGGCTAAGTTCTGACTGAATGCACATTGTGATAGTAGAGCATTTCCCTTTTGTTTGGGGGAAAGTGAGCAGTATGTTCACTGAAGGAAGTTGTGGGAAATCTGCTTAATGGCATGGAATATCAATCTGAAGAGAGCATGGGTTTTTAACATTCCTTTTGCCCCTCATCCTTTCCTTCCCACTGAGCCCTTCTGAAATCAGGGTTGCATATACCATGATGGCTGAAGTACTGATACTTTTCATTTGGGTTTTCATCCTTACAGATTGAAACTAAGTATATATCATGAAGTTGGAAATCAAACTTAATTTGATTTGTGATAGTAGCCAGTAGTTAGATTTCTCACGATGGAACAGATTATTGTTATTATTTACAGTATTTCATCTAATGAGTATATCTATCTGGGATGTAAATTCCAAAACATTTTTCATTTGTTAAAGCATTTTATTGGAGCCACTATTCCAAATACCATACTTGGTTTAGAGTTCTTTGTTATAATGCCATGTAATTTCATAAGCTCTTAAAAGGAGCAACTTTAAGACATTGAGATATATTTGCTTATCTTAAAATTTAGAAATTAATGTATTATTACTATTATCTAATTGTGAAACAGTCCTTTTATTCAGAATAGGTGAGGAAATAATGTATTCTGATATCTAGTGATTCTATGTTGTATTTTGGTCAGTAACCTGATAATCATCTGCTCTCTCTCTCTCTCTCTCTCTCTCTCTCTCTCTCTCTCTCTTTCTCCCTCTTTCTCTCCCCACTTTCTCTCTCATTTGTTTTTTAGTGGTGGGAAGGACAGCTGTTATAATATGATGCAGTGCATTTCTGCTGGACATCAGATTGTTGCTTTAGCAAACTTAAGACCAGATGAAAACCAAGGTGCGTGTATACCTTTATGGGGAAGCTCTCCAGGTGACTGGAACTCAGCTTTGTAATTCTATCTTCCTGTATGCAGTAGGCAAAGAGAACAAAAGACCACCTTGCATTCAGCGGTGTTAGAAGTGGGGCCGTAACTAGAGCTTGGCATTTTTCACCCTTGGAAGCATCATTAATCCTATCCTTACTAGGTAGAGATACTGAAGCTTAGAGTTTTGTTAAATTTGCCAGAAGTAAAATAGCCAGTGCAAACATTCAGAAATGAGACTGGAACTCTCTCACTTCAGTGTGCAGTAATGTTCTACTGCACCACATGTGCAAGTGTTGCAGGCAGTGTACAAATAAAATACACGCTCATGCCTCAGAGAGGGTGGCAGGCAGACATGTTGTAATAGGTGAATGTTACTAGTGAAAAGGTACAACTCAGTTTTCTTACATTCAGGTCAAACATGAGACTTGAGAGTACATAGAGCAATTTATTTCCACCTTTTAATTATAGTCTAAAAATCTCATTTTGATTACTTTTTTCAATGAAATTTCTTGATTATAATTTTTTAAAGAATGAACACTTACCACTTCACTTTTTGTACTTTTGTTATGCTTATATAACTAGAGATATTAACTGCTAACTTTAAAGAAAAAAAAGCACTGACCTAACTTTATGCATTCTTACTTTTCTATGTGGTTCTTTTAATATGATCCTCTTAGTATCTCTTTTCTTTAACTTTTCCCAGCGTATGTTTTTGCTCTACTGTTATTTTCAAATGAATTAAGGAGTAGTGTATGTGAAAACATTAATCATAGTTCATGTCATGGAGATAATATATGGTAAATTTAATTGAATTATAACCTAACACTAAAGGTTTTCCTTTCCTTGGAACTGCCTTCTGCTGTATTTTTGTTTCTATATCCTTTTATAATTGCTCCTTTATTTTTTCTATAAATACTCAGATAGATTATGAGATTCTTGAAAGCAGACATCATATCTTGTATCTTCCATTAAGTGCTCCTGAACACTCAGCACAGTGATTTGTGTCCAGTAGGAATTCACTCAAAGCTTATTCATTGGGTCACTGAATAAGGAACTCGTTTGAATGATCCCTGGAGCTACAAGAATTTCTGTTAGTCAGTTACTTGAATTTCCTTTCATGATCAAAACCCAACTAACTGACTGTGGAAATGATGTGGAAAGTAGAGAATAAAAGCGTTTTATAAATAGCACAGATTCTTTACAGTCATGGTAAATGTCTAATAGTTAACATTAGTGATGAGTCATCACCAATTTTTTCAGAAGTAAGAGCTTTTTTTTTGTAAATGAAAATGGCATTCTAGTTCTAACTTTAAATAAGAAAGACTTTGAAGCTGAGCGAGAACCATTATGTAACTTCCATATTATGAAAGAAAAGTAAACTCTCAGGATTACACTATTACAAAAGAAAACATTCCTTTATCCCATATTGCTAGCCAGGATAGGTGGGTCTTTTAATCTGTCTTGATAGGTCTTAGTAGTTAAAAATCAGATGTTTATATTATTCATAATATACATATGATATGATTTCTCTCTCTTGAGTTTCTATCTTGTTTGCAGCTTTTCTACATCATTTATTGTATTCATCTTGTATGGAGTCATTAATATTTAATCTTCTTATGTGCATAGTTTACTGGCAGAGCAGTATAATGACAAGCGTGTCTTTAAATCATACCTGTTAGTGTGGAATGCAGACATTTATTTAAAATACTGTTAGTGATTAAAAATTTAAGAGTAAATGGAATTAGAATATTATTAAGGAAGAAGTGAGCTGAATCTACAGTAACTGTTGTAGAAGAGAACAGATTGCCACAGGTTGGTAGATCAGGGGGACTTTTGCTGATAATCAAGTGTAGTCAGTTAAGATCATTGAATGGCTTCTTTTGCCTTCTGACATGTTGCAAAAAGAACCTCAAAGAGGAATGACTACTAGCAAGGACTCTGGAACAAAATTGGTTAGAGAATATTGTGTTTTCAGTAGATAGTCTGGAAAAGATGTTCACATTAATGGGGATAATGTGCATTTGTTATAAAATTTATAAAACCATCTCGTGGTAACTTTTCTGACATGTTCATTAAAGTGCTTTGGACAACAGTGATTTATTTTATCTCATGCCAGTTTGACATGTAACAAAGTTACATTGTGGTGAAGATTAACTGGAGCCTAAAAAAAGTTATTTACCAGGTGTTTTTTTGTTGTTGTTGTTGTTTTGTCAATTGTGGGTCTTGAACTCTGGGCCTGAACACTGTCCCTGCGCTCTTCAGCTCAAGGCACACTCCACCACTTGAGCCACAGCGCCACTTCCGGTTATCTGATGGTTAATTGGAGATAACAGTCTCATGGACGTTCCTGCCCGGGCTGGCTTTGAACTGTGATCCTCAGATCTCAGCCTCCTGAGTGGCTAGGATTATAGGCATGAGCCATCCGCACCCAACTTTACTAGGTTTTTGAAGCCTGCAAAATGTTTTAGTTATTATACTGATAGCAGGATGTTTCTTTCTAAGAAGCACACATTCCTTTGAATAGATTGATTTAGTATAACAAGATCCTTTCACACTAAAACATTTAAAGATCCAGTCTAACTGTGGGTTGAGAGAAAACTAATAAAAGGTTTTTAGGTGACTTTGTATCTCTACTTCTTGCCTGGACCCAAACCAGACAGATTTATAATAATACTGTGAGTACCATTCTGCTGGAACCCAGTGTGTGTGTAAGAAATCTGGTGAGGCAAAATGAGATGGCTTATAATGTGGAGAACTTCCATTTTTCTCTTTGATGGACTAGTTAACATGTGAAATGAAGCCTTGGGCCTGTTTGACATATATAAATCCATACATATATATGTAGGTATCAAAACATACATATGCATCTGACTTATTTTATAGTGTATTTTTTTCTTAAACGTGTTGTGAACATTTTCCATTCCATTAAATATTATTCTACAGTAGTATTTCTGCTGTCTTCTTTGGCACACAAATACCTCCATGAAATATATGAATTCTGTAGATAGATAAAGTTAAGAGATGAAAGTGCAGTATCCTAGGAAAACATGCAGCAAGGACATCTGTTAGGCATAATTTTTGTGTGTCTATTGTAAATTTTTTGACATGCAATCCTTTTTACAATACCTTTGTATTAATGTATTTGGGAATTTATATTCTGGAGAACACACTTTGAAAAAAACCTCATTTTAAAAATTATATTAATGAATGCATTTGTATTCATACTATGCTGTGACGCATCTTTAAAAATAATCTTTGTAAATATTCACAATACTTTTTCTAAAAAAATAATTGAGATTAAAAAATGTATTGTTATATATTTCTAAGTCCATTCATTTCATATAATGTGGTCTAACATCTATTTTGAATATTTACCCATATTGATAATTTGTGAAAATATACCAAGAACATCTAAGTGTTTTCCAAAAAATACTGCTACTTACTAAGTAGTGACCTTGTGAATAACCTTGAATGATAGAAAAATATTTATATAATAAAAATTTTAATTGAATAAACCAATCAAAATTTATTGAAAACATTACTCTTCCCTTTAAACATTGTTGCATATAGTTATAATAATTTATTTATAGTTTTATTAGTAATTAGTAGTAGAGATGATTACGGCTGCTATGATCCAGATGGGACTACAGACAAATACACAGTGTTTACATATTATTCCATTGTATTTCTGCAGCTGTTATATTATAGGAAACTTTGGAGTTCTGTGCTGACTGCCCTTCGAGCTGTTCAAATCCATTTCATTTCACTCTGTTTTACTAATCCTTTCTACTTTCATTATTGCAGTGGGAACTGATGAATTGGACAGCTACATGTATCAGACAGTGGGTCACCACACCATTGACTTGTATGCAGAAGCAATGTCCCTTCCCCTGTACCGCAGGACCATAAGAGGCAAGAGCTTGGATACGGGACGTGTGTACTCCAAATGTGAAGGTGATGAGGTTGAAGACCTCTATGAGCTTTTGAAACTTGTCAAGGTATGTGGAGTAACTAGTTACTTTTTTTTTGGGGGGGGGTCTGGTCATGGGGCCAGAACTCTGGGCCTAGGCGCTGCCCCTCAGCTCTTCAGCTCAAGGCTAGCGCTCTACCACTTGAGCCACAGCGCCACTTCCGGCTATTTTCTTTTTGCTTATGTGGTGCTGAGGAATCGAACCCAGGGCCTCATGCATGCAAGGCAAGTGCTCTACCACTGAGCCACCTTACCAGCCCCCATTTTTTTTTTATTGTGAAAATACCATACAGAGGGGTTACAATTACATGGGCAAGGTAATGAGTATATTTCTTATCAAGCATTATTGCCTCCTCCTTTGTTTCCCCTTCCCATCCCTTCCCATCTCCCAACCCCCCCACCCCCCTCCAAAGTTGTAAAGTTCGTTTTTCGACATAGCATCTTGTATATCTCATTGTTGCACTGGGTCTACCTGTATCCCTATTTAAACAATTAGTTTTTTCCCTTCCCCTCCACAAATTATACCAACATAAAATACAGTGAAAGCAGGGGTTATACTGTGGGGGAGGGACATACAAAGCAACAAAGAAATCATCTTATAAATATGTTAGAAACAATTGCATGAAAGAAAAAACATTTGAATACTTATCTTGGGGTTCATTTTACCTAATATCAACTTATCTAACCTTTTCTGTTTGACTCAAACATATGCTAATTATTGCAAATAAGGGAAACCATGGGACCTAGGTTTCTTTGGGCCTGGCTTACTTTACTTAATTTAATTTTTTCTGAGTCTTTCCATTTCCTAACAAATGGGGCAATGTCATTCTTTCTGATGGAGGCATAGAATTCCATTGTGTATATATACCACATTTTCTTGATCCATTCATCTACTGAGGGGCATCTGGGTTGGTTCCATATCTTAGCTATGGTAAATAATGCTGCAGTAAACATAGTCGTGATGGAAGCTTTAGTGTGGTCTTGTTTGTGATCATTTGGGTAAATGCCCAAAAGTGGGATCGCTGGGTCATAGGGGGAGTCTTTTGAGGAACCTCCATACTACTTTCCAAAGTGGTTGAACAAATTTACACTCCCACCAACAATGCAGTAAGGTTCCCTTCTGTCCACATCCTCTCCAGCATCTGTTGTTATTAGAGTTCTTGATTATAGCCATTCTAACTGGGGTGAAGTGGTATCTCAATGTTATTTTGATTTGCATTTCTTTTATGGCTAGGGAGGTTGAGCATTTCTCCATGTGTCTATTGGCCATCCTTCTTTCCTCTTCAGAGAAGTATGTCTTTAAGGCTTTAGCCCACTTATTTATTGGGCAGTTGTTTCTTTGAGAATTTGTTCTTGGGGATTTAATTTTTTGAGTTCCAGGTATATTTTAGATATGAGACACTTGTCCATTGTATGGCTAGTGAAGATCTTCTCCCAATCGGTGGGCTTTCTATTGATCGTGCTAGCTATGTCCTTTGCCATGCAGAAGCTCTGCAATTTCATGCAATCCCATTTGGTGGACTACTATTTCTAATGGAAGAGAACAGGCAGAACACAAACAACACAGTTAATATTGGAGATTGTGAAGAGAGAATAAGGCAGCATCAAAGTGATAGCAGCTGATGGCAGGGAGGGCTGGGAGTGAGACTAGACCTTGTGATAAGTTAGAACTAACACAATTGAGCCTGCTTCAATGTGGTGAGAGAAGCATCAGTTAGGTACTTACATTGCACATACAATTCTATAAGCAACATGAACTTATTCTTGATATTATGTAGACAAAATTTAGAAGTATGGTACTCACAGATCTAGTAAGTATTCTATTCAGTACCTGTTTACTAGTTGAGATGCTTTTATAGTGAGCAGTGACCTTACATTTTCATTGATAAACAACTATTTGAATATAGTTTCATATTTTTCTCAACCATAAATTTTATCCAGTCAGCTGTACTCAGTTCACAAAAGGTGTACTGATGAAATAGGAAATTTTAAGCCAGTATTTCCTGGATGTCTGAAACATATTTTCACAATAAAAAGATAAATAAAAAGATTTCTATTCTTTCTTCCCCCAAAGGACATTGAATCATTTGCTCATTCTTCAGAGAAGTCCAACCTTCTCAGAAGTTCATGAAGTAGTGTTATGAACATTTCCTACTTGCAAATCATTGCTTTATGAATGTACTTCAAAATTAGTACTAGTCAGGCTCAATACCAGTTAAAGATTTTGATTTGAAATAAAAATATATAGGAATCACCTAAGTTCTTTCAAATTTGCTTGATTATAAGAGTTCTTATTTTGTATTTCAGAATTTTAAAGACAGAAAAAGAGTTGTTTTATAATTTACTATTCATCTACACATGCATAAGTAGATTCTTTTCACAGAAAATCACTGGGAGAGTACCTGCTAATTTTAACTATTTGGTTTATCAAAGAAGGAACTCAAATCCAAAATGTTTGTTAGTCAGAGATGAGAGTCTCACAAACTGCCCAAGCTGGCTTGAACTGCAAACCTCAAATTTCAGCCTCATGGGTTACTAGGATTACAGGTATGAATCATTGGTGCCCAACCTTGACTTTAAGACTTTAATATAAACCAATGTGACAGATTGGTGGAACTTAGAAGGAATTGAGTTGCTTAAAAATCGCAAACTTGGTAACAGGAAGCTCTGTGGTAATAATAGCTCTCCAAGAAATGGAAAGATAATAAATTACTAATCTATTTAATTAAAAATAGGCAGATTAGTAGTAATTAAGAAGAAATTTCCTTTCAGTCTATGCTGTCTTTGGAGAAATGGATGCTTTGCCATTATCTTTATAGTAACCATCAGTTATGATATAAATTATTGTTAATGTTAAATCTTGACAACTTCTGCTCTAGAATTTCATACCTGGTAATTATAACTATAGTTTAAAGAGATATTATCAAGTTGTCTTGAACTAAATAGTTATTTCTTTTCCTGTGTAGAAATATTCATTTCACTATGGGATGTTTTAAGGACATAAATATCAGAGATATATTGCTTTTATGAAAGAAATTGTATGATTAGGTTTTTATAGTTCAGTCCATTTCTGAAACACTGATACAAAAATTCCAAGAGAGGTCATACATATTCTAATGAATAATTGAGTAATCATATAAAAAAACTAATCTAGAAAAGCTGCAATTTTTCAAGTTAGTCTTCACTTGTTCTTAGAAGAAGATAGAACTGCATTTTAATTATCCTTTGAATATTAATGAATTACTGAATATATGTAGATTTAATTTCATGTTCAGCATTTATTTATAATACATTGCACTTTAGTGACTTTCATATGTAGGTTATTATTTTATTTTTTATGTTTCATTTCTCCTCCAAATATTAGAGCTGAGTTTTGCCTAGGAGATGTTCTAGTTTTCAGAGTCTCTAAAAGGACATTAAAGTAGTTAAGTCCAAAATGTGTCCTATTATTTTATTTGAAATAATTTATCTATTATGGAATCACCATGATATTGTTTTAATGTGTGATGTAAAACCAACATTGAATTGACTGTTTTCTATGTAGAAGCTTTAACAGAATGGGCATTATAGTAAATGTTTTCAAAATAAGGGATCTATCCTTTTGGAAGTGTAATCACTATCAGTAGTAAGAATAATTTCCAGCCTGACAATTTCATGAAATTGATGAGCAAACAGCTCTCCAAAATACTTTTGGTATCTCCACTTTAGAAAACATGCTTATAATAAAAATTACTTCATGACTTTCTTTTCACTTGAGATCTTGAGGTATATCTGAAGATATTTGAAGTGAAGAAATATAAAATGGCCGTAAGATTTGCAGGGGGCCCAGAATTAAACACGCACTTAGCCTTGTTCCTGGCTCTCCAACATTATGCAGCTTGCCTCAAGCCTTGTCAAGTCCCCAAAATTGGGACATTAAACCTGGTCCATTGGCACAGTAAATGCTCTTTAAGTATTGATTCTAGGCTCAACGAAAACTCAGTGATGGAGCAGAGCAGTCAGTGTCTTGTCCATTCCCATGATTCACCAGACTAGTATCTTGTGCATTCCCAGCTGCAACGTCACTGAGCTGTGCATAATTAGTCCTTTCAAGTGATTAGGTGAGACATGTGTAAGGAATTACATAATGAACGGTCTGTTTAGGAATAAAATATTGGGCAGTATTTGATAGGATTATAGTTACTAAACTTACCAGAGGCCCAGGGTCTCTACCTAAAGCCTAGAGAATACAACGCCATGCTCTTAGGGTAACTGTGGATACATCAAGTCTTGAAAACCAGGTATTGTGACGTCTCCAGCTGTGTTCTTTGTCCTCTAGCTTGCTTTTGGCTACACAGCATCTTTTCTGCTTCCATATGTAGTTTAGGATTATTTTTTTCTAGTTCTGTGAGATATTTTTGACTCTATATATGGGCTTGGGTAGTGCAGAGATTTAAAAAACACATTATTTTTCTAATCCATGAAGATTGAAAGTTGTGTGTGTGTGTGTGTGTGCGTGTTCGTGTTCCTTTTCAATTTCATCAGTGTTTGTATTTTTACTGTAGATGTCTTTTCCTTTCCAAGGTTAAATTTTTTTCCTAAAAAACTTTATGGCTATTATGTATGGGAGTTCTTTAATTATTTCTCAACAATCTCCTCATTGGTGTGTATAAAAACGCTACTTATTTTTGTGTATTGATTTCATATCCTGCTAGTACTTGATTTTTGAATGAGTTCTATTAGGAGTCCATTAGAATCTGTAGGGGTGCATGCGTGCATGTGTGCGTGCATGTGTGTGTGTGTGTGTGCGTGTGTGTGTGTAAGTTCTAGTAGTGAAGCAGGGTCAAAAATCACTACCCTGAAGATTTTGCAAAAGGAATAAGAGTATAATAGAGTTATAAAGCAACCTTAAGGTCATCAGGCTGAACCTCCTTGTATAAGAAATGAATTAGAGAAATACAACTGTGTAGAGCCACTCAAATACCTGGTGTCAAAAGTGAAAATACATGGCTAACTTAAGATTATGAGGATACTACTGGGAACTAGTGG